CAGAAGCACCACTCATTTTTTTCTCCCCCTACTTTACAAAAATAGTTTGGGCCAAAGAAAGGATGCACAGGTAGACTTTGTTACTGTTGGCTGATAATGTTAAATCAGTCTTAGCAGACATTTGAATATTAGATTTTAACAAGTGTGTGTTCCAGCCTGGAGCCTGGATTGGTGGACTGGGGAAGCGTATTTTTGTATGGGTTATGAATTCAGCCTTTATGAAGTTAGGGGTTATGAAGCACTGTACTAATTTACTAATCTGGGGTTTACTTGTATCCTGTTTCTAAGCATTCCTCTCCTAAACAAATCACCTTTCTTCACTCAACACACAAGAGTGTTGTTGCCGGTCCAGGTATCACGGGTGCTGATGCTGGGGAATGTTAACTCCAGCTCCAAGAAGCAGCTGGGCTTGACAATCAATGTCATCCAAAGCAAATATAGATTCTAGTACTTTACATATTTATTTAAATTCTAAGAAGTACATTTAGAACATGCATAATTAGCAGGGGCTACAGAGTTAGGTTTTCAGAAGGCATATTTACCTAGAGAAATTGCGCATATTTCATAAAAAGCAAACACCAAGTAAAAAGAACAGTCTATCTCTGGCTTGATGTTTGATGTGCTTTTCCAGTGAAAAGAATGCATTCCTTCAGTAATCATCTAGTTTTAAATTAAAACATGGTATCTTCAGAAGTATATGATGTTTATTATTAACAAATATTGTACATGGAGTTCTAAGGAAAACAGATATCTTTTTCTAATGTGCAAAAATTGAAGTTTGTAAATTGAAACAGTAAATTAAAGTTTGCTTTTTAAGTCATTACACTAACTCTAAAGTGAAACTGTACAAGGCGGGAACTTGATCCTGTGCATAGTTTGTAAATAAATACAATGAAATGGACAAAAATATGGGAGGGAGAGGGACAAGCAGGGCAAGCTGAGCCCTGTGTAGTTGGTGACAGCAGACTTCTTACCTCTCTTACTTAGAGCTGGAGAACTGTGAAGACAAGTTTGTTCATTCTAAAGTGGAACCAAAGTCCGAAGAGGTGACAGGTCACGTAGCTGACTAGTGTTAGAAACCAGAGTTTACACTTCTGTCTCACTAGCCTTTTAAATAAAGGTCATAAATTCTGAGACAACATGATAACTGATATATGACCCTGATATTGCACAGTTACCACAAAATAGGAATAGGGGTTGGTTTAGCTCTTTATATATGTTCTCTCTTTTTCATTTCTATAGCAATTTGAGAAAACCAAGGCTTAGAGACTTTCTCACTGGCTGACAGTAACATAGTTACCCAGTGGTAGAGCCATTTCAATGAAAAGCATTTGTTTCTGGTTTATCATAAGAATTTTACAGGAAGCTCAGAATAGAGAGGACACGGTTATCCCCTCCCAAGGATTTACATATTAGATCCTTAGAAGCTAGCATTCAAGATGGCCATGTTGGAAAATGTTTTTGATTACAGCACTTAGTAAGAAATACAGTTGTACTGAAACACATGCATAATTATTTAAATATGTTAATTATAGATGAAACAAGTTTTATGAAATCACTTCATAATTTTTCATTGTTTTTTTCCCATTAACTTTTGGCAATTCCACATATTTATAAATTTTGAACTCTTTTTGCACAAAAATGTACTTTTAGAATTTCATTTTCCATGGCCCTTTAGAAGTACCTGTTACCAGAAATGCCCAGTGGGTTCTTTCCTCAGCTGAGTATAGAAATAAAAAGCCGGGAATCTGTTGCAAACAGAAAAGTTTATTTGCGAAGGGACCAGGGGAGCAGGGAAAGGAGAGGAAAGGGAAGCACCTCCGGAAAGGAAGCCAGGAGGTGGGGCGCCTCTCGAAAGAGGAGGGAGAGAGAGACACCAAAGGTTTGAGGAAGGGTCTAGGAGTTTTAAGCCTTCCTTGACCGCTCCTTGTTGGGCGGGAAACCTACAGGTGAGATGTTCCCCATTGGTGGTTTCTTAATTAGGAAATGGGTGGGCAATGCTGGTGCCGCCCACTTGAAGGTGTGGCCAAGACCTCAGCAGGCCTGGATGGTCTCAGTACCCATGTGTGCTGATACTTTCTTTTCTAGATTGTTCTGTTTTTTAATTTATTTATTTGCTGAGATTTATTTATTTGAAATTCAAAGTTACTGAGAGGGACATACACACACACATACACATCACGCACACACAGAGATCAGTATTGTATCTGTAAGGAGTTATTAGAATAGCCCACGCTGGACCCAGTGCCATTTCTTCTTACTCACAGCTCATGAAGTTCGTGCCAGTCTAGCCATCCACCAATCAGATGTAACCTGGCATTCCACCTGAGAATCCCACCCCCAATCTCCCATCCCCATCCCCAACCCCGCCCACTCACCAATCATCCTAGGCATTCACCTACAGTTGCCAATCCCCTGGGGCCTGCCCTCAATCCCTCCCAATCCCCACCGCGGACACCTGGCAGACAAAAAGGCCCCCAGGTGCGGCTCTGTCTCTCTTCTTTGCTCTTCCCCTTTCTCCTCCTCCTGGCCTCCCTTCCCCTTTTCCTTTTCCTGCCCCACTGGAATAAACCTCCTAAGATACTTCGTTGCATCTGGTGTTTTCAGCTCACAGTAAAGAACCAGGTTGTGGGAATTAGCTGCGCGTAAAATATTGTAATATTATATGAACTAGAACTAGAAGTCTAACCCTTTTAAGATAATTAACAGTATCTAGTGGTTCACTCCCTAGATGGACTGAGTCAAAGCCAGCAGGAGGGAGCTTCAGCTGAGTCTCCCATGTGGGTAGTAGGGATCCAAGTGCTTGGGCCATTTTCTGCTGCCTTTTCAGGCTACTGTGGGAATAATCTAGTGTCCAAATGGGGTGCCAACACTTCAGGCAGCACTTCATACGCTACACCACAACCCTGGCCCTGGTATGCCTTTTAACCTTCCTCTTGATCCCCCTAAACAGAGACTCTTGCTGCTTTCTGAATCAGTCATCTGTGTTGCTTCTGGGTTCTATTGTTAATGTGGTTCATTTCTTCAAATGAGGAAACTTAAATTGAGAGTGGGGAGGAACTTGCCCAATGACAGTGCTGAGAATCAAATCCAGAGACTGGAAGCTTTCAAGTCCAAGAGTCTAATATTACAGAGCTTCTTCTACACCCAAAAGATTGTTCTGATATATTTCCAAAATACTTTTGCCAGTGAAACACTAAGGGAAGTTTAACCACACAGGAGACAGGAGGACTTAAGTACAACCTCTCCCTGACCAACACTGAAAGCTAACTCAGGTTTGCTCTTGTGGAGTGTTTACCTCCCAGGGTTTGGAGAAGCTGTTCTCCATGGCGAAGGTATCAGAGTTAAGACATCAGTGGGCAGGGACTTGGCCCTAGAAAAATGCTTCTCCCCCTTCAGCTGCATGACCAGGCAGTGAAACAAGACTGGCTCTGATCCTGGGCCCAGGAGCAATTTCTTCCTGCAGAAACCAAGAGTTGCCGGAACCCAGGGAGCCACAACTGGCAGGCACAGCGATGCTGTTAAACTCTAGTAGTATGGAGTGGACAGCTAGTTCAGATGCTTTGTCCCACACTGGAGTGCCTGGGTTGTGTTCCCAGCGCTGGCTCCTGACTCCAGCTTCCTGCGGATGTAAGACCTGGGAGGCAACAGCTCAGGCAGACGGGTCCCTATCACCAGCCTGGGAAACCTGGGTTGTGTTCCTGACTCTCAGCTTCGGCTCCAGTTCAGTCCCAGACATTCCTTGCATTTGGAGAGCTGGGATCTCCTAACAGCACACATTTACTGCAAGTTTAATACGTGTCAGGCACTGTGTTGTTTTGTCTGTGATGTAATCTTCACAGCATTCTCATGAGGTGTGTGCTATTACTATCCCTAATGTCCATCTGGAGAAATAGGATCGGAAAGGTTGACTTGGCTGTAGCCAGCTAATAGGTGATAGAAAAAGAACTCTTAGCCAATATCCTGTACTTGTAACCCTGTCCAAAACTAGTGAATATTAATGTATACAATCCCAAGTTCCTTTCATTGTTTTAGGAATTTAAAAACTAGAGAAAGCTTTCTTATGATTTAATATTTTATTAATATAAAGAGAGCAGATTTTATATATTTCATAGATCTAATTCTAAGAAAACGACCATACTTCCCTCTCACCCTCCCTCCCCAATATTCTCACCTTCCCTCTTTTTCCCTCCGTTAATTTTTGCAACAATGTAATTTCAATTTGCTACATAATTACAGGTTTACTATAAACATCTAAAAAAATCTGCTCTTTAAATTCAAAGCCCTGCAAGATTTTACATGTATTATTCTAAAAGTATTTTGATTCTTTATTATCTGTTGCTATATCTGTATTATAATGTAGAACATAAAGGTGAATGAAGCATGATGTACTAACAGTTTGTTAGGAAACTGCAATGCTATTAAAACAAGGATTATTGTGATTTTGGGGGAACCTAGATTAGAAGATGTATGTGAAAATTTGAAGAAAAAATTTAAGAACTACAAACATACATGCTATTTTTTTCTTTTAAAATGAAAATGTTCCTATTAATTAGTATTTTTTTTTAGCATGGCTCTTGATTTAGATACATACTATTTCTTCCAGGAATCAAAGATTTGGGCCCATGGGCACGTTTTTAACATTTTTTGAAGTTTTTATTTACTTATATGAGGAAGGGGGAGGACTCCTCCCATCCACTGTTGGCTTGCCTGATGCCTACAGTGGCTTGACTGGACTGGACCCACTGCAGCAGCACGGGGCTCAGTCCAGGGCTCCCACACGGGTCTGAGCCTTCATCTGCTGCCTCCTGCAGGGGACATGAGCAGGAAACTGGAATCGAAAGCAGAGCCAGTACTCAAATCCAGGCACTCCAGCAGGGATGTGGACATCCCAGCTGGCGTCCTAACTGCTAGGCCAAATATCTGTGCTGCTTGTGGCCCTGTTTGATGGACAAGCAAGTGTCCGTGTCACAGAAGTAATCTCTGATATTCTCTCCTAGGTGTTCACCTTGCTGTGGATCGCCGACTGGATGGTCCACCACTTCTGGAGGAAAGGAAAGGACCCCGATAGCTTCTCCATCCCGTATCTGACAGCGCTGGGGGATCTGCTTGGGACAGCCTTGCTGGCCTTAAGTTTTCATTTTCTTTGGCTTATTGGAGATCGAGATGGAGATGTGGGAGACTAATAAATCCTACAAATGGCTCTCAGATTGCGAAGGAGGAAAACACAAAACAACCACTTCTGGCTCTTTTTCAAACCTCTTAAATCAGTACCTTGATTTCTGCCAGGGAGGGCTTCAGTTGGCCCTGAGATTCAATTAAATGGCCTTAAGGAATTTGTGTTAAAAACAGACTGAATAGTATTTGTGGTACTTTTGGTAGAATAGATGATCATTTGACATAGATATAAAAACAAGCTCCAACTTTGAAATTAAACAGGAAAGATTTAGAATGCTGACAATGAATAATTTTGAAACCACATATATAGCAGAAATAGATTTGCTTATTGTTGAATTGACAATGCAAGTTTAGAGGAACTATCTCTGAGTGACTCACAAATGTATGTTGCTGTAAATACCAGACAAGATTTCTGGTATTTTTAATTATGCCTACTTCTGCACTCCCTGAGAATAAATTCACCATTATTTGTTCCTAAACTGATCTAAATAATCCTGACGAGCACAAGATTAACTCACTTTTGCCTGTGTCTAACATTACCCTGTGCCAATGCTAACTTAATTTCAATTCTGCAAAGTTCTTGGTAGGCTACCCTTTACTTAAGCATAAAACAATCTTGAAATAGCTTAAATAGAAATCAGTGAACCACTTTTTAATTATTGATTTGTTGAAGAAGGTGGATATTTTTCAAACAACCTTGATAGTCAAAAGCAGGAGATAACCTGAGAAGCGTTTGTAGAGACAAGATGACTTGAGGAATTATATGTGTTTTGATACAAATCTAAGTCTTGGATGATTGATAGTGAAGATGATGACACATCACTGTTGGAACATCAGCATTATAGAGCAGGTCTTAAACACATGTCTTTGGTATGCTGTTATCATTTGGCATGAAAATTTTACCACCAACCAAAACACATCTATTACCTACTTTATACTTAACAGCTTCTTCTTATTTAAAAAAAATGTACTATTTAAAATAATTAAGTTACAAGATTTAGAATGAGCAAATGATTCATATGCCTTTTTTATATGCCCTTTTTAAGGAATCCTGCTATTTACCCTTTTCAAAGAGAAATTGGTGAGTTCCCTCACTTGTTATTCACATGTACACCTATCTGTTTGCAAAGGCTTATCTCTCCATGGGACCCTAGCATATACCCTGCTCTACTTCTCTGTTATTTTTCATGAACTCTAGCTCAATGTGCTAAATATCCAGTACGTTAGTTATTCAATAAATGAGCATTTCCACACCACACGTAGCTCATTACTTAAAATGCAGTGCAATCTCTAAAAGACCTTTATATATTTAATAACTTAAACTGGCAAGGAAATAATAAAACATGCACATTAACTTTGGTTGCTACGGTTCTAGCTGTGGATTAGTGTTATGTAAATGGTGGGTTGTAACATATTGGGAAAGTATTAAGCTCTTTAAATGGGCTATGGTTTAGAGTTATATATATTTGCTTACTTTGGGAACTTTAATTATTCCATTATTCTGCCTGATAATTAAGCTTTTAAGGCAGAGAACTGAGCTAATTATACAATTTCTCCTTTGGAGAGTTATAATGTTATATAGTAAACATTCTTATAAAAGAAAGAATGGTTAAATTTCAGTTGATGACTATTTAGTTGCAAAAATTTTTTATATTTTTAAATCCACGAGTGAGATCTTTGATTTTACTATAAAGCACTTGTAGATTGTTTACATTTGATCTGTATGACTCACAATCATCTACATTTTTTTCAGTGATTTGTTATGATTTGTTTTAGCATCAGAGTGAGTTACATCATTAAAGCGTTAAGCAACAATTGGTGCAGTACATACACGTTCAATGCATTGCATCGCTTATCACTCAAACAGCCTAGTATTCTTGTATGTGTTTCATAGCACATAAAACTGACACTCAGAGGAGTTATATTTCTGAAATGCATAGCTGCAGTGTCACCAAGTTGTGACATCCTTGGAGTCCAGTCTTCTAGGCTAGACTTCTTATAATATCCACCTGTGATCCTCCGAATTCACTGAGGGAAACCGACTGAGGAAACAAGTTTTCTAAAGGAGTACCACTATGTCTTTTAGATTTCAGGTAGGGAAACCTCCCTTGAACATGTCTTCATAGCAAGGATAACCAACTGTCAATTATTGTGTTCCTAGGAGCTAGGAAAACAAAAGAGTATTATTTTATTTTGTAAAATAGTTTCCATTTTTATAAATTAAAACTTTAGAGTAAAAAATAATACCTTATTTCACAGAATATATTATATTCATCACTGTGTATCTTGTCATTTGCCCAAAGTAACAGCAAGCATATTACGACATATCCAAGTTTTGTCCTTTCTCTTTTGCTATTCAACCTTGTGGTTACAGCAACAAAAAATCTAAAAGACATGCAAGGGAAAAGGGGGAAATTTATGCCTGATTAGGTCAGTTAATTATGAAAGGCATGTTGATTCATTTTTTAAAAGTATTTTTTGAAAGCCTTTCCATATGCATGTAACCATAAGATGAGCTCTTTTATTTGCCCACAACATAATTTATTATCAGCCCTGTTTGTAATTTACAGTATTTATTTTTATGCACCATAAAAACTCTGGCTCTATGGACTTCCTCCCTATGCTAATTTATGAGGCACTTTATTCATAGACAAATAACCTTTTTAGCACATTTTTCATTCTTGCCCACCAGCTACTTTTTTTTCTTTCAGAAATAAAATTTTGTAGGACTTGAGATAATGGAGACTTAAGCTAATGTGTCTTCTTGGAGACATCAAGAAGTTCCACACCACAGACCATCAGTGACTTAACTAAATGAGATAGAGGTTTAATCGTCTTTCAATAATTGGACTTTCTTGCTTTATTCTGTGTCTGTTGTATAGTATACCCATTTATGATGGGTTCCTGTCACCTTCGAATCATTGTAAACTCAAAAATAAACTTTGAGAAAAATTGACCCCGGCCTTGTCCTGCTTGCTTCTTGATGAACCAGCCAACATGGCTTCTGTAGGAAACCTCCCAGCACAAATTAGGCTGACCGGTGGTTCATGTTTTATTTAGGAAGTGGAATAAACTGGACTTTTGCTGGACCTGAACCTCTACTCCATTGCTTTACCGCTTTTTGATAATTAAATAGTCTCTTCATTCCCTCACTCTACCTTTCATTCTCTGACTTAAGATCCATGGTCCATCAGTGCATTCGCCTGCAACTGACTCCTTCATACTGGCCAGACAGCACCAGCTCTGGTTGAGCACAGCTTGCCATCAATGCCTTGTCTGTTCCTAAGCAGCTATACATGCCTCGTGAAAAGCACCGTGCTAGCAGTGTTTTAAGTTTATACCTTCAGACACAGTAGGTGAAACTGTTGTTTGGGAGACCCACATCCAAGTGCTTGATAAAATCCTGTCTCCTCTGCTTTTGATCCAGCTCCCTGCTACTGTGGCTGGGAATGCAGCAAGCACTGTGCCAAATGCTTGGGTCCTTGTTACCCATGAGATGCTGGGATGGAGTTCCTAGCTCCTGGCTTCAGCCTGGCCCACACCTGGCTGTTGCAGCCATTTGGGGAGTAAATCAGTTGGTGGACAATCTGTTCCTTTTTCTGACGCTCCTTCTCAGTTTCTATATTTTAAATAAATCTTTGGGGGAAAATTTATAAAATATTTTTAAATGTTCTCACATAAGGACAGGGGTCCTTTTTAAGGGGCACCAATAAGTGGCTGCTAAAGTTATTCTATTTTGATTTTTACATAGTTGGCAAGAATGGGAAGGGTTGAGGACTTAGGGGAGTGAGGGTGAGATCATTGTTTCCAAATCTTGCTTTGCTTCCTCCTGTACCTGGGGAAAAAAGGGGAATTAGGGGAGAAACCATGCCTAGCCTTCCTGCTGCCAACCAATGCCGCCCCAGAGTTCTCCAAGGGTTCTGCTCAAGCGGTTTCAATAGCTGTGAGATGCTGTCGATTTCTGATTTAAGGATGAAGAAATCCTTCCAACGTCCATCTGCTGACACAGTCTACCCCAGAGTCTCCATTTGCACAGATATTTGTTATCAATGCATGGCTGGGGGCAGTTAAACAATGCATGTCCTTAAATATGTTTGTATGTAACCATCTATATATTGAGGTGGACACGAATTCATGCTGTCTCCAGCTCTCCTCTATCACTACATGGATTGTTCTAGGCTCTTGCTTTTTTTTTTTTTATTGTTATGTTTTTATTGGAAAGGCGGATATACAGAGAGGAGAGACAGAGAGGAAGATCTTCCGTCCGATGAGTCACTCCCCAAGTGAGCCGCAACGGCCGATGCTATGCCAATCCGAAGCCAGGAGCCTCTTCCGGGTCTCCCACGCGGGTGCAGGGTCCCAAAGCTTTGGGCCATCCTCGACTGCTTTCCCGGGCCACTGGCAGGGAGCTGGATGGGAAGCGGGGCTGCCGGGATAGAACCGGCGCCCATATGGGATCCTGGGCGTGCAAGGCGAGGACCTTAACCACTGCGCCACCGCGCTGGGCCCTAGGCTCTTGCTTATCTGTAATCTCTCCAACAGTAAGCAGTCTGGCTGGTTCTCTCCATCCACCATCCACTTAACGATTGAATTCTAGTATGTATGTATAGAGTATCAGCGTTCTTCTACACTCCTGTGGGATATCCACAAAATTCTATTTGTGTAATGGTCAGATATTTCAGTTCGTAAGAAACACATAAATATAGGTATTATTGGGGTACAGTGTGTACAGATTTAGGATAATTAGCATGTTCCTTATCATTTCTTTATGTGTGCACCCTGTAAGCCTCTTCTGTCGAGTGTGCATTGTGATGTAGCAAATGCAGCTACTACAGCCTGTACCAGGGTGCCAGTTTGAGTCCGAATCCTTTACCTTTGATCCAGCTCTCTGTGAAGGCACCTGGGAAAGCAGCTGATGATGGCCAAAGGACTGAGCTCCCACATGGGAGACCCAGATGGCGTTCCAGGTTCCTGGCCTCAGCCGGGTCCAGCCCCAGCTCTTATGGATGTTGGGAAGTGAATAAGTGCATCAAAGACCTTCCCCTACCACTCCAAGTCTCCCTCTGTCACTCTGCCTTTAAGTAGATAAATCTTATTAAATTGTCTCTTGTTTATGTGATATCGTCTTGCTGTGTTGTCTCATAGTTTGCAGTGAAAAGACTTATGAAGGAACAGTTTACAGAGGAAAAAGAAAGCTTACACAGCACAAGGGGAGAGGGGCCTGGGGAACCAGAGCAGCAGCAGCAAAAGCTATCCACAATTAAGTGGGAATAGGAAGAGAGAGAAGTGCCTGAGTTGGAGCACTCACACTAGGTTGGGGGGAAGCTTGTGTTCACTAAGATAGGATGGGCTGATTCTCCCAGATCTCTGGCTTCACTGTACCCCAACGTGGGTCAGGGTGTTCCCTCCACCCCACAGTGGCCGTCACGAACTTAGAGCCTCTTGTGTGACTGCAGAAAGGAAAGAAAAGGCGTGGAGAATTGTGCCTTTTTAGGTACCAAGTATAAAAATGACTTCTTCCTGTGGTCCAACTGATGTGCAAGGGAAGCTGGGAAATGTGGTCTTCCTGTCTGGTAAGAAGAGGAGAAGGAAATGAAGTAGTGTTGAATGGGAACATTTGTCTTGCCACAGGATTTAAGGCACTGTATTCACATATTCAAGGAAGACATGACACAGAGACTCAGAAGGCTGAAGGGTATGAAACTGGCTGAGAACTCA